ACACACATAGATATATATGTATGTGTATGTATACACATATATACACTTATACACACTCATATAGATATATAGATGTGTGTGTGTGTGTGTGTGTGTGTATGTATATATATGATATATCTATAATTGATTTGTGGGACAGAATAAAGGTAGAAAATGTAGCTGCCATGTGGAGTGGTAGTAACTGGCCAGGCCCTGGGCCTGGGTAGCCTAAGTCCTGGCTCTGCCACCCACAGTGGAAAGTTATTTAACTTCTTTGTGTTTTAATTTGCTTATGTGTTAAAAGGGGAGAACAGTACCTGCCTCCTGAGGTTTTGTGGGAATTAATATGTGTAAAATACTTCAGCAGTGCCCAGTCCCTAGTAAGAGATACACAGGCACTTATAATTGTTCTGAGTTGTGGTAGTGGTATTGAGGGAAATAATAGGGCCAGAAATCAAGAATTAAGGAGACGCTCTTAACTGGGCTTCTTGTCTCCCCGTTTTTGTGGTTTACATCCCTGCGGTGCTCCGTGGCAGATGAATATGACCTGAATTTTCTGTGTACTACCCCGGAATGCTGGAGGCATCCTCTGTTGTTTCATGCCCCTTACCAAATTCTGGCTAATTGTGTCTGCTTCAACCAAGAGCACGTAATGTGGCTTATTATTATTATATTCGCACACAGTTTAAGAAGGTTAGTCATGTTATTAACCATAATTATTTTTGTGATCTAATTATGCATTTATATGGCATTTTGTATTTCCATAATGCCTTACAACCACTAATTGTATGAGGAGGTCTTACTTAGAGTTGTGTGTATTTGATGATGTCTATCTTTGTATACTTATTATAAACAATAAAGTATATGTTTTGCTCTAGATTAATATCAATATTTAGGATGGTGATTCATCTACCTGCTCTCTAGGTTTCAAGACATACAAGTTGGACTAGAATTGTAACTGAGTAGATATTCCTATTTCTGATTGTCATCCTAGAATGCCTGCTGTGACACTGACATCATCAATTCACCTAATACATGGGCACAGTTGGACCTGCCCCCAAAGCCTGTGATTTGAGAAAACACAAGAAAACATTCCCCTAGCCTCCAAAACACTTAGGTGTGGGTACCTGAAATTTCGCAGTTAGAACTGAATGTCTTTATCCTTTTGGCTTAAGCCAAATAAGAAACTTAGTCCTTGTTAAAATTAAAATACTCTTAGCAGATATAACACATTAAACTCTGTCATTTTTTAGACCTTATGGGGAATACATTTGTTAAATCCTTTTCTAAAATGAAGTTTAATCAGTGAAGGCACAGAAAAACCTAGAAAATTGGGACCCATTTGGGATGGAGTTGAGAAAGAGATAAAAATAAATTTCTCTCTTTTTTTTTTTTTTTTAA